ACAACAAGGACATTTGCTCAACTATGTTCATAGAAGCTTTATTTGTAATAGCCAGAAGCTGGAAACAACCCAGATGTCCCTCAGTTGAGGAATCAATATAGAAATTGTGGTACATTTACACAAGGGAATACTACCTAGCAATTAAAAACAAAGAAATCATGAAAACTGCAGCAAAATGGTGAGAACTAGAAAATATCATCCTGAGTGAGGTATCCCGGAAGACACACATGGTATATATATATCACTTATAAGTGGCTATTAGACATATAATACAGTATAATCATACTAAAATCTAAGGAAGCTAATCAGGAAGGAAGACCTTGGTAAGATGCTCAATCTTCATTCAAAAAGGCAAAGAGGATGGGCATCAGAAGAGGAAGAAAACAGAGAACAGGACAGGAGCCTATCACAGAGGGCCTCTGAAAGACTCTACCCAGCAGGGTATCAAAGCAGAGGCTGAGACTCATAACCAAACTTTTTGCAGAGTGCTGGGAATCTTATGAAAAACGGGGAGATAGTAAGTCCTGGAGAGGATAGGAGCTCCACAAGGAGAGCAACAGAAACAAAAAATCTGGGCACAGGTGGTGTCTTTTCTGAGACTAATACTCCAAACAAGGACCATGCATGGAGATAACTTAGAACCTGCACAGAAGTAGCCCATGGCAGCTCAGTGTTCAAGAGGGTTCCCCAATAATAGGAACAAGGACTGTCTCTGACATGAACTCATGGGCTGGATCTTTGATCACCTCCACCTGAGGGGGGAGCAGCCTTACCAGTCCACAGAGGAAGACAATACAGCCAGTCCTAATGAGCCCTCATAAGCTAGGGTCAGATGGAAGGGTAGGAGGACCTACCCTATCATTGGACTGAAGAGGCATAGGAGAAGAAGAGGGAGGGAGGATATCATTGGGAGGGGATAAGGTACAGTGCTACTACAGCTGGGATACAAAGTGAATAAACTGTAATTAATTAAAATAAATAAAATGAAATAAAAAGATTCATGTAAATAGACTACATATAGCCTATATGGTCCCACAAAACCAGGGTGAATCAACTCATCAGAAAGTATTTCAAAAGAAAAAATTACTTTTCTAGATCCCCAAAGCCTCCCCACCTCCTGGAGTTACTGGATCAGAATAGTGGGGCCAAGTTTGGCTAAAATTTAACTTGGGTAAAATATCTGACCTAGAGCCACTTATATTCATGTGGCACGGAGAAAGATGACTAGCTGTTCTAATCTGACTGCAGTCTAGGATGAGATACTCAGAATGGGTGCTCAGCCTTCTGTTATGGCCCCATGCTGTTGTCATCTACAAAGCTCACACATGGGAACTGCACAACCAAGTGATACAAACATCACAAAATAACCTCTTGTATCAGTTTGATTAAGTTTGAGTCTTGTGTTGGGCCTTATCATAAATATCCTAAGTCAGGCTCCCCTAAGAAGAGAAATCTGCATGGACTTCACTGTTCCCCCAACTTCTTCTCCACATTGCCCACAGAGAGACTTTATTGAAAACCATCAATTAATTTGGCAATTCCCTTTTCAAGAAACAAAAGAAAGCATATCTTTTTGAAAAGCAAACAGAAACTGTTCTTCAGACAGTACTAACAAGGCATTTCAGTATTCCCAGATCACATGCAAACAATGCTAGGGAAAACAGCAACAAGGTCTGACTTGGTTTGCCCAGAATGTAGGCAAACCAACTGGCTGTCTCCTGTCTACTAACATTGTATTTGGTAAAGTTCAAAGTAATTATGGGAATCCATGCTGGTGGCTGCCACATTCTTGGACAAACAGAGGTATCAGTTAGGACCAGTGCAGGAGAGATGAGTGGGCAGACCTGCTGAACTACAGGGTTTCTGCTGCCCTTTGGTAAGGAAGCCCCAGGAATTGTGCAGTGATTCATTGTTTTATAAAGAGTGGATGTCAACAAAAAATAAAATAAATAAAGCCAGATTTCAACTATCACTCTCAAGCAACTAAGAACAAAGTCAAGCCCTGTGTAGAGATAGCTGCAACAGCAATTTAAGAGCTGCTTTCTGGAAGTCTAATGCTTGGTAAACACTGTTTCTCTGAATCTCACAACCCTTGAGAAAGGCTGTCTGACGATTCTTGAACAAATGTGATATGCTGAGCAAAAGGAACCTGGTGAAACTTCCCAAGCTTTAAACTGTGGAAGATTGTCCAGCTGAATCTTAAAGATAGAGCAACTGAGAGCTTTTAAATGCAAAGTAGAAAGCCTTGATACCTATGAAAGTGCATTCCCCTCCATCAAAAGATACACACTGCACCCTCAGAAGAGAGTGCCATGGCATAGACTTCTAAAAGCTCCAAACTGAAATGTGTCAAAATGTCCATGGATAATAGAATATATAAATGAGTTGTGATATTGCCTCAAAAGCTAAGCTGTGATATGAACAGACAGTCTACAGTGACATGCAAAGTGATGGGTTGAGCGTTCAAATTGTTGGCCAATAGAAACCAGATACAGTGGAAAATGCCGTAACACTCGAGTTCATAAATCAGAAAAAGAGCTTGGCACACCCCTTGGGGAAGGGACTGGAAGAGAAGGCCAATAGTGTTTCTGGGGCTTGAGTGCTCATAAATTTTATTATCTGGCTTCGGGTGGGTGTAAGAATCCACTGAGCTTTTGGACGCAACTTGTGTAAAGATATAAAGTGTTGGCTGTTTCATCACCATTTTATTTACTTGCCTATAAAGAAGTAACCCCGCATCATTTTCACTAGCAACCTTCAGGCCTGTGCCGTTTTCTGACTTTTTGTCCCTGAGCTTACAATAGTTTCCCATTTTTGTCCTTCAAACCTCATCTCTCTTTTTGCTAATGGACTTTACCTTATTTCAGGCACAAAGCCTTTTAGATCAACTTGGCAGCTGAGAAAGCCTACAGCTTAGTAATTTTGCTTGTCAGCATGATGTTTGAGGATTCTCACATTAAAAACAAGAAACCTATTTTTATATATATTTTACACATCTTAAAATGCAAAGAGAAAACTAGAATAGGATGATTAAATAGGGAGGGCAAAGGAAGAGAAGGATAAAAGAGGGAATGTGGGAAGAGACAGCTTAGAAAGGCCATTAGAAAACTATATACAAACCTACTACTGAAGAAGCTGCCTAAAACATTTACATCTATGAAAGGAATCTAAATGAAGTCACCAAATAATGAGGGAGACAATACCCCAACTAGACATCTTATGCCACAAGCAAAACCTCAGGTTCCAGAAACTGGTCGCATCTTGCTGAGTTTAGACAAAGGGTTCCCATGGAAACTCTCAAATACCACAGCTTATTGACAAGGCTATTGATTATTTTACATAACATGGTGGTAAAGCCTCATGGCTGAAGACAATACTTACTCATGTCATCCAACTTGGAGAAACTAAGCTGTTGACCAACTACAAGCTTCATATTTCTGACTAGCATTCATAGTGTGTTAAGCTACTCTTCTAAAGGAGAAAGGTAATAACCAACTCTTCTAAAAGATAAAGGTAATCACCAATTCAACCAGCTACGAACCCTGTGACCCGCCTTGAGATACATTGGCTCAATAGTTGTACAAATATTCTGGGCGTGATTAGACACATTTTGATTGGATTTGAGGTGCATTTTTGAGATGGAACTCATACCTGACACTGTTTAAGTGATGAGGAATCTGATGCTAGATCAGTCATGGGCCCAGGGGAAAACTTCACTGTCATTCTGGTAAAGAAACAAAGTAATAAAATGGCTCCCAATAACTTACTGCTAGACACATAGATCAGTGCTTTTCAGTGCACATCAGAGAAGCTTCTTGGTACCGTAGTGTGAAATTGACATACAACTGGAAATTGGACAGAAAGTGAGAGATTTGAGCACTCAGCCCTACATGGGATATCTTCATCAAAGCCCTCACCTCATATCCCAGGGATCTAAAGAGAAGAAGGGACAGAAAGAATGCAAAACCAAGAGGTGATTGGTGATTCCAAGAAAACAGTGTCTTCCAGACACAACAGAACTGACACCCATATGAACTTACACAAGACCTGCAGAATTCAAGCTAGATAGGCATTCAGCACTGAAAGGAGGAAGTGGACACAGGATTCCATCCCTAACTAAGAAGCTATTAGCAATTGATACACAGTAGTAAAGGATAAATAGCTTATCTTCAATTGAGTGTCACTAGGTATATCAACCACACTTCAAGATAGGCCCCATGTGGGTTACGGCTCTGTGCATGACCTGACATTCTTGAGCCTGTTAGGTAAACCCTCTTGGTGTATATGAACAGCCCCTTGGCTTCCACCAACATAAAGGTTAAGGATGGCATCACCATCACACTGGAGACCTATAACATGAGCATCCTCAAATGGCTCTAACCAACCTATCTGGTATTTCCATCAATGTATTTGGAAAAATGTAGCTATTACCATCTTGAAATGTGGTATTTGGAATAGCCTAAATCTATGTTTCTGGATCATGGTTACTCAACTTGGAATAAACTTTTATTTCTTTTAAGGTTAAGGCTCTTTGTTTTGTGTTGTCTCTCTCATGCTTTAAAACACAGAAATCCTTAGCATTGTTTAAACAGACAAATGCTTCTCCTTTCATATACATTCATACACATATATGTATAGGCATATATGTATGTATATACAAAACTCTTGATCCACATCAACATTTCCTCTGAGATACAGAATCTAGCTGTAATGGCCACTCCTCTCTGTCTTGTTGCTCTAGAGCCTAGAAGTGCAGCAGCAGCCCAGTCCCTTTTCAGTGTCAATGTTGAGAATATAACAGCTCATTTGCAGCCCCCAAATTCCTTCTCTAATAATGATCTGCTGGACTCTTTGATCTAAGTCCCCAGAGCCTTACACACAATCTACAGAGAGAATGGGAGGGTACAAGTCATGTAAGCAAAGAAATTATGGATGCATCGGCATAATCTATGCACACAGTTCAATGTGTCACTGCAGAGATACGATGATTAAAAACATACCTTTTTCATAAGCCCACATCAAACACATCTGCTCATCTTTGTCACCACTAGACCTGCTGGGATCACACGCGACTAGATTCATATCTGCACCATTATCCAGTAGGAACAGAACCAGGCGAATGTAGCCATGGTAGCAAGCAGAGTATAATCCTGTGATGGAAAAGAACAAAAGGAGGCAAAAAAGAAAGAAGAAAATACGCTTTGATGTCAAAAGAGTCACCGCTACAAACAGGATTGTTTCCAGAGATGTAAATCCACATTCGATGTGTGGTGAGAATTAATTTTATTATTGAGAAAACAAGTGATATAGTTAGTAATAGAGGTACTCTAATCCAGGCAACCTTCAATATTGGCTATATTTACTCAGAGTACATTTTAAATTTTTATTTCTCTTTCTACAGTAATTATCAAGAACAAATGTTATTGCCTTTACAGAAGAAAAATAATCAAGAGTCCAACTAGTAATTTTCTTGAGCACCAAGCCAAGGGCAGAGAGATGTCATGATTATCAATCTGTCATGATCTAGGGAACACAGGGTGTAAAGATTGTATGTAGGTTTTTCACACAACAGTGGAGCAGAACAAAATCCAGTCTGCTTTTTATTGTTGCCATTTACCAGTAACTCTAAATTTTTCTAATTGAGAAAAATACCTCATGCCCTGGGGCTTAACCACTATCAGCGAGCTGCCCCTGTGGCTCAACACTGTTCTTGAGAACTGACGAGAATGTGCAGACTCGATGTTCTCAGCCATCTTACCTGTGTGTCCGTCTTTTCCTAGGTGATTAACATTCATGACATTCTGATCAAGACAATGTTCTTGCCATAGGTACAAGCACTGCAGAAGCAGAAAATAAAAAAGATAGAAGCTTCTTATGTGCTGAGCCATGTCTCCACAGAAGTCCTAGTTCCTGGGATTTCAGTGAGTTTAGATGTCAGTGTATTTAGAGGTAACTCTTTCCATGTTGTAGTTGCAATGTAGTAGAATTCTTAGAGTAGATCCGAATACAGTAAGATTGAAGTTCTTATGGGAAATGGAAATTGGAACAAAGATGACACAGACAGAAGGCTAACCACAGAAAAGCAGAGAAAAAGTGACCATCTTCAATTCAAAATGAACATACACACCGGAAGCCAAAATTGTCAGTACCCTGATCTTGTAGCTCTGCAACCATGAAATGGTAAATCACTATTGTTCAGCTTGGCCAGGATGTTATGCTACTATTAGAACCATAAAAATTATACACACTTGATTAATCCAGATACAGGTATGTAGAAAAGTAACAGAGAGACATGCAAGAAACAAGGAAGGGAAGAAAACAGGAGCTGAGAGGCGGTCACAGGGCTCCTGTGATCTTTGCTTACCGAGGAAACATTAAACATTTGGAGCTAAACAAGGAAGCTGCATGAAATTCCTAGTATTTTAGTCAAGTGTTCCCCATGCTGTCAGTTCACTTTTAGGCTAGCAGATATGTGCAAGACAGTCATATGTATATTCCACACAGGTGCAGAGAACTTTGTCAAACTGAGATGACAGTTTGAAATCAATCCCCAGGAAAATGATGCAGTACCTCTCAAGAGTTCTGTGAAAGAGAGAGTAAGTGTTCCAGGTTTTTATGGTTCTAGGAATGTGCATCCACACATCCAGGACTTGGAATGGGATCTGGCCTCTGGGCTTGACTTTTCATTGCATCCTCTCCACTTGCCTAGTGCTGTTGGAATGTCAAATAAACCCATGCTATGGAACCACAACACAAACTTTGGAGCATGCTCCCAATCCTCTCTTTCTAGTTGGAGAGAACACTGACATAGTTAAGGACACAAACAAATTAAGATTTTTGTAGATAAATTTTGCAACTGGATCTGGAATTTTGACTTCCAAAATTGACGGTGATAGCTGAGATACATGGTGGAAGAGTTTGTGCACAGTAAACACATTGTGGATGATGCCTGCCTTGTCGCAGCAGGAGTGACTTGACAGAGTTAAGTTTGGCTCACAGTTAAAAAGGGGACAGTGGATTGTGCAGGCCAGGGGAACAGCAGAGCAGCTAAAGCTGCAGTCAGGAAGCAAGGGGACACACTGGCTGCTGCTCAGCTCACTTCCTCCTTTTCTGTGACTTAGTTACTCTAGGCTGGCATTACCTTATATGCAACATGGGTCTCCCCATCTCCCAGTCAAATCCTTCTAGAAACATCCCCATATCCAGAAGTAATTTTAAATCCAGGTAACTTCACATCCAGTCAAGGAGAAAATAAAGATTAAGTGTGACACCCACAAATCACTGGCTTTTGTTTTTAACAAGCAAGTGTCAGAAATGGCCCCTCTCCTATAAGAAATGGCCCCTCTCCTGTAATTTCCCTTTACAGGTGTCAGTCCCTCATGCTAGCCTCTCAAACACTAGGATGCCAGACTCCCTCATGTAATACATAGATCAGCTTCATCTAATGAGGGCTACAGGAAGTGGACAAGGACTCAGAAGACACAGTTTCCTGGGTCTCACCACTTCCTCTTCCTGGGACAGTCTTGAGGAAGTAATTTTTTATATTTTTTTCATTCCTTTTTTTTAAAAAAAATATTTATTTACTTCACATCTTGATTTTAGCCCCCCTTCTCCCTTCCCAGATGCCCCTGTCATCACACACTGCTTCCCCAATTCTCCCCTCTCCTTCTCAGAGAAGAGGACCCCATGGGTACCAACCAACCCTGGCACATGAAGTCCTTTCAGGACTAGGCACATCCTCTCCAACTGAGGCCACACAAGGTAGCCCAGTTAAGGAAAGAGGATCCAAAGGCAGTCATCAGAGTCAGAAAGGGCTCCTGCTCCAGTTGCTGAGTGGCCCACATGAAGACCAAGCTGTGCATCTTCTACATATGTGCAGGGGGCCTAGGACCAGTCCATGCATGTGCTTTGGTTGATGGTTCTGTCTCTGTTTGTTCTCATGGGCCCAGGTTAGTTGACTCTGTAGGTCTTCTTGTAGAGTTCTTGACTTATCTTGATCCCTCAGTTTTTCCCCCTAACTCTTTCATAGGACTCCCAAGCTCTGTCTAATGTTTGGCTGTGGATCCCTGCATCTGTTTCTGTCAGCTTCTGGGTGGAGCCTCTCAGAGGAGTTATTCTAGACTCCTGTCTGCAAGCATGGCAGAGTAACATTAATAGTGTCAGGGATTGGTTCTCTCCCCTGGGATGGGTCTCAAGTCGAGCCAGTCTTTGGTTGGCCATCCCCTCCATCTTTGCTCCATCTTTGTCCCTGCACATCTTGTTAGCAGGACAAATTTTGGGTTGAAGGTTTTCTGGGTGGGTTGGCGTTTTTCTCTCTCCACTGGAAGTCCTGCCTGGCTACAGAAAGTGGCCATTTCAGGCTCCATATCCCCTGATGCGAGAATTCCCTGATAGGGTGACCCCTGTAGACTTCCTAAGGAGTCCCCTGTCCCAGGTGTCTGGGAAGTCATAGCGATGCCTCCACCTCTGATCCTTATCCTCTCACCAGGTCCTTTCTCCCCGAGCACTCCCTATTTCTAATCCGACCCCTGCTTCCCTCCCTTCCCCCTCCCCTGCCTCCAATGCCTATTTTGTTTCCCCTTCTGAGTGAGATTCAAGCATCCTCCCTTGGGTCCTCCTTGGAGTTTTTGGGTCTGTGGACTGTAGCATGGTTATCCTGTGCTTGTGGCTAATGTCTACTTATAAGTGAATGCACGCCACATGTGTCTTTCTGGGTTTGGATCACTTCACTCAGGATGTTTTTATTTTCTAGCTCTGTCCATTTTCTTGAGGAAGTCATTTTAAATAAAGTGTTCCCTGCATCGTATACCTAAATCATTGTCCCCACGTGACACCTTATCATGAACCGAAGGCAGAGCTCACTGTCTTTCTAGGTTTCTTCTCACTTCACTGGCATGAGCACATGGCTTTGTGTGTGTGGCGGCCGAACTTCTGATGACCTTCACAGCTCACAGAGGGGCTCCTTAAGGAGATGAAGGATCCTGTTACATCACTGTTCCTACTCCCACCAACACAGGGCAGGCCTGCACTATTTATTACTCGAATGTGTGGGTGAATAAATCACCTCTCTCTTGGTACAATATCATATCACCTTTTACATCATATCAACTATTTACATCATAAACAGGGATGCAAAATTATACATTTCATAGATCATTGTCCATGATGCTTTATTAGTCCTTTCAAAGCAACCAATGACATGACATGTCACATTAAAAACATGTATCAGTGTATTCACGTTTGTGTTTATGTAAACATATGTGTATATGTACATGTGAATGTATATGTATGTATTTGTGTATGTGTTCATATGTATGTATGTGTGTATATTTGTTTACCCATATGTGTGTGGATATGAACATACACACACACACACACACACACACACACACATTCCATCATGGTTAACTTATATTGTCGACTTAGTTGTGTTAATAAAACCTTGGGGGTGTTAGTGAAGTATGACTTTGCGTGTGTCTGTGAGGAATTTTCCAGAGAGATTTAACCAAGACCTCTGCTGAAGGCAGGGTCCACCATCCCATGTGCTGGGGTCCTAGACTGGGTATGAAGAGGGAAGGGGGCTCCAGCTGAGTAGCCTCACTCACCTCTGGAGCTAACTGCAGATGCAAGACAAGCAGCTTCCCCACTCTGCAGCCATCATGCCTTTCCTACCTCAATGGACTGTATTGCTCCAAACTGTGAGACAAAATAGAACCTTCCCCACTTACTTGCTTCATGTAAGCTATTTAGTCATGACAACAAGAAGAGTAATTAATAGGTGTTTAGATTTTCTTCAACTTCAAAAGCATTTATGAAATTTAAATGTGATGATGGACACAATAACCTGGTGTGTAGTTACTGCTTCCTCCTGAAGGAGTAGTTTCCTGAACTTCTTTTTCTTTAAACAGGTCTGTTAAAAGATAAACCTGCAATCCCATATTATATATGAAAGGTTAATGCCTAATATGAAGCACAAGGCTACTGTTACTTTCAGATCAGTCTTTTGCTTTTCTACTATGCAGACAACAAAGGAGTCTGGAATTTGGTTTTTAGAGGTTGCAAGTCAGCTAAGAAATATTTAATGTCTAAGTAAGTGACCTTCTAGTCAAGATCTATTAAGTTCCAATCATTGTTTTTATAGCAAAACAACAATGTTTCCCCAGGGAGGGCTCCCAGTGTTGTGAAGCTCCCATTTTCCTCCTGGACAGCTTGGAAGCTGCTGTGGCTCAGTTACCAGCAGCCTCTTGCCTCACTCATTGAGTGCATCTTTCTTCATCCCCACTGATCCTGCAGGGATTTTCTTAGTGGACTGGCAAGGGCTCTTAAGGGTTCCAAGAGAGAACAACATTCTAGGTATCCCAGCACCATCCTGAGTAGGCTTTTAGCAGCTGACAGATGGGTATCTTGGGTAGACACATGTGCACATAAGGTTTAAGAAAGTGAGGGAGAAAGTGTCATATTTGATGCTGATGAATCCTAGTAATGAGGTTCTTGTCAGTGGAGGATTATGGGTACAGCCTCTTTTGGCAGCTTTTCACAGACTGAGGAGCAATATGCTTACAGATGTTGATAGGCCTGTTGCCTTGGCAACATCAGTCCCTGTCTTTGTGGCTCCAGCCAGAAACACAGCATCTAGCTGCAGCTCCATTTGCTGTGCTGATGGAAGCACCTGCCTCCACCTTTCCTTTCTGCATCCAGCCAGGCTTCCCTTCCGTTCAGCCTCTGTGCTCACTTTCTGATTGCAACATCTGCCACTGTTTGTTAAGGCTTTGTACACATGACTTTGGGCCTTGCATGGTGTCAGCCAAGCTCAGTCGCTAGTGCAGAGAGATATTCTTTATCTGTGAAAAGCTGTCTCACTGAAGATGTTCTCCTTAGTCAGGCTTTCAGTTCCTGTTATGTGGACAATTTCCTTTGCAACTTCAAAATGTCCATTGTAGCATGCCCTGGACAGGAAGAAATATTTTAATAAGTAAGAGGACACAAGTTGGAGACAAGAAATGCTAAGTCATACTCACAGGTGCAAAGGAGTGTCTCCGTAGATGTTAATGACATGAGGCTGAATCTCCAGGTCACTCTGGAACAAGTAGTTTACTATATTGTGGTATCCAAATTGAGAACAGAAGTGCAGAGGGACATGGTCCTCATTGTCCAGAGCATTCACTGCCAGTGGTGAGAAAGCACAGATGTGCCATCTGGAATTCATGCTTTCTCATCCTTCTCATGTACAGTGTCATGTACTTTGCCTAAGTACACAAGATATGCCTGGAAGTTGCCAATTACTATTTATAATAGAGGAAATCAAGTGCAACCAACTTTAAAAAATATAATTTTATTCTATCGCCTATTACCACATCAAACAAGCTTTTATTTAGTGCTCATAAATTCTATGGAATATAGATAATCAAATTTGTCTTGCAGTGGAATGATTCAAGAACCCAGTAAGCATCCAACAGTACCTGTGACCTCATTCTGACGAGTATCCATTCCAAACTGAGTCCCTTTTCCACTGAAGGATTTTACAATTTAGAAGCCCTTGACTGCGGAGACTGTCAGTGGATAACGGTGTCCATTGCTAAGCCTGTGGACTTGAGTTCTATCTCCAGGCCATACATGGTAGAAGGAGAGAACTGACTCTCATAGGTTGCTCTCTGCCCTCCTCACTCGAGCTGTGGTACAACCTGCCCCCACTACATAAATCCATGCAATTTAAAATTGTAAACTAAAGGTCTTATCCAGACCACTAAATCCAGTAGAGTGGCCCAGTGGGAGGAGGCCGTAGCCAGTGATCTGAACATTTAGTACACTGTACAGGATCCGCTGTACTCCTCAGCTGAGAAAAACAACACTACACAAATGGAAAAGTGTTTCAGATGAGAAAGCTCAAAAGTGCCTTTCTCTTTGAGCCATATGCTTTTATAACTCTCAGATATTTGAAGATTCTTTATGGAAAGTGCAGATGTGAATCAAGATGACTTGCTACCACAGAGGCTGAAAAGTGTTCTCTGAAACTCCTTAGATTTAAAGTTTAAGAGAAGAGGAAAATGACCATATGGAGGCTCCAGAAAGGAACGGTAAGCACAGGAGGTTACCGGTGCCATCTTGGGATAATTGTCAGCAGAGATCCTTTGCTCTCCACACTTCTCCAGCTTGGACACACATGTACAGTATCTTCTAATCACAGCACCACATCAGACCTGACCTCGGAGCTCATGACACAGGAGCACCGGATCTAGTCTGTCCTGGCCATATGGTCATCAGTGATAGTAATGCCACCTAGTCTTTCCTGCTAACAATTCCAGCCCCAGGATCAGGGTCCTTTGGTTTTTAGAATCCCAAAGTCTGCATTTGTTTGGCATTGCTGGTATTGTGTCTCCATGGGATCCTTTTGGGTTTGTGACATTTGAGATGGTTCTTTGCTGTGATAGCTCTGAGCCTCACTTCCTACTCTGCTTTGATCAGACTCTGGCTCTAAATACCATATCTGCTCTAGTTTCCTTTCAGAAAACACTAGGACCAAAAGCAGCTTGGGGAGGAAAGGGCTGTTTTGTCTTATATTTCCAGGTCATAATCTAGCATAGTGGGAACTTAGCACAGAAACTCAAGTAGGAAATGAAATAGAAGCTTTGAGAAGATGGCTCAATTCTGGCTCATGTTTAGCTACCTTTGTTTGACAGCCCAGGACTAATATCTCAGGCCTGTGCTGCGTATGGTGGGCTGTGCCCTCCCACATCAACTATTAATCCAGATGTTCTCTCATGGTCATGCCAGAGGCCAGTGGGATAAAAGCAATTCTACAACTGAACCTCTTTCTACCTAGGTGTGTCTAGGTTGTATCTAGTTTACAATGAAAACTAACCAGAACAATAGCCTTTAATATATCACTTTCATGCTTAACTTGACTGCAGTCTGACTCCTTAACCAGTTGCTATAGGTCTACTGCTGTATCAGGGTTAAAATACTCGTGTTTATCATCATCGTGGCTACAGCAGAACCACTGTTGGGACCAAATGGAAAGCATCCATAAATCTTGTGTTTCTAAGGCATTTCGTGAAATGCTTTTCATACACACACATTTAATGAAGATCATTCCAATCTTCCCTAATTTCTCTCTTTGTAAGTTTTGTATTAAACTATAAATGCATAAAATATTTCTTCAAATAACAAAGTCTAGTTGCAAGACAGGCTTAGTAATGACTGATCACCAACTACTCAATTCTAGGTCTGACATTAACTCAATATCTGAGGAATGAAATAATTTTATCAGCTCTTCTAGATATATTTGCTTTATTGTGATTTTTTTTGTACAAATTCACTTATTATTTGATGACTTTGTGCAAGCAGAAGGAACAAGGAAATGCTGCTAATGACAAACCATCTCAAGGGAAAGTGACAGAGAGCACAGGGACTCAAAAGTGCATGTAGCTTATCCTGACTGTTGACACCTGTCACGCAGCAGTGGACGACTTCTAGCTGATTTGGCTTCTAGCTGCTGCCTTTGTTAACAGCCTCTTTCATGTATTGTCCTGCAAAGTCTTAAGAAAACAGAAAAACATTAGCTGTATCCCTGACATTCTCCTGCAAAGCCTGTGAGGAATGCCTCAGAGAACACGCTTTTCCTTTCCCTCACAACAATGTTCTGGTTCACTTTGATCTGCTTGTCTATAGCTGTGTTTTTATGTTCTGTGAGAAGCCAGGTAAAGTCAATGGCACAGGACTGTGCTGGAGCCCGGGATGTTAGGAACATCCTGGAGGGGTCCCAAGTCTCCAGTGAATACTCTAAAGAATAGCAAAACATAGTCCTGTCAGTTTATGAAGTGTCACATGGCCATCCCCACCCCTCCCAGTGTTCATTCTGTTCAGCATTCCCACGTTAACTTCAAGGTCCTCTGTGTAGCAGACATCCCTCCTTGTTCTCCATACTGAAGGGATGTGGCATCAGACACAGGGGTCATACAGCTTTGCTGCAGTCATTGTGAAATGTTTGTGTCTTGGGCTGATTTATAGAGAAGAAAACATACAAATTATTACATTATCCCAGCAACATTGAGATATGATGATATGAGTCATGATATTCTGTGTGGAATAGCTTTATCTTTTACTAAAGCAGGTAGGTCTCTGATCCATGATGGATCTGAGGAAAGAGAATCATCACTTCAAGATCAGCCTGTACTACAGAGTGAGTTCAAAGTCAGCAAGGCAACTCAATGAGAACCTGATCCCAAAATAATGTGATGGTTAGGGTTATTGCTCTGGCAGTAGGCAGTTTATTAAGCATATGCAGAGCCCTGTGGCTCAATCCAAGCAAAACAAAAAACAAACAAACAAAAAGTTTTTATCAAGATATTTAAATAAAGGAGTCTTTCAAACAATAGAATACATATAATTCATTATCAGGAAAATATTTTACACTCTCCTTCTTTCATTTTACAAAATAACAAGTGTGTACCAGTGGTTTTTCAAAGATCATTGGATGTTGGGTATGTGGAATCTGCTGTTTCTTATTTGCGATTACTGACATTAAAGATAAAACAAAACTTCCACATTAAGGCAGCAATAACTACAAAGACTATAAACTTTAAAATATAGCCCACATGCTTTTTATATGAACATTCAGGAAATCTACAGAATAATTTCAATGAGGTATGTTTACAAAAGTAAGCAGCCTTGCTGACGATGATCTTACCTGATTGTTTTACATTTAGTTTTACTTTTGTGTATACGCTGTGTGTATTTGTGTATATGTGTGTTGTGTGTTTGTGTTTCTGTGTATATGTGGATGGGTGTGCGCACATCCAAGTGCAGGTGCCCCCAGAGTCCAGAGTAGCAGAAGATCCCCTAAAGCCACACTAGCAGATGGTTGCAGCCATCTGATGTGGGTGCTGGGAGCTGAACTCAGGTCTTCTGAGTGAACAGTACATGCTTTCAGCCACTGAACCATCTCTGCAACACCCATCTTGGCAGATGTTTATCATGTTCTGCAGTAGCACATTACAAGAGGACCCTATGTTAAAGAACTTAAATGTTTAATAGTAAGTTATCAAATATTAATGAATACCAAATTAAAACATGCCCATTTTCAGCTTTGTTGAAAGAATATATTTTAAGGACCATCTCAGTATTTTCAGCCTCATGCCACGAGGAATTTTTTTTTTCTCCACAGCCCAGGAGACACAGCAACACAGAGCAGAGACTTGAGAATACCTGACTGAATAGGCCAGCCTCTTAGGTGCAGCGAACTGAAGAGTCTGCCTTCTGACTTACATTTTGTAATCTGAATATATTCTCACTCATGGCGTTCCATTTCCATGGGAACATGCTGTAAACACTAAGCTGTAAATTGTACTTCTTTGGGGTCATTCATTTAATCTTTCTCTTATGCCCACAAGAAAAGTCTGGAGTTGAAATAAACCATCTAGAGGGCCAGCTATGTTTTTGAGAGTTGAGTTCAGCGTCAGTGAGCCTGGTGCCATCTGTCACATGGGGCAGAGTGTAATGCGTTTTCTGCAGTCTACTGGAGTGCAAAGCGGGCTCACTATCAAGTGTACTAGAAGGAAATAAAAATACTCAAATGTTTGAGTCATGCTGGTTTTTTTTATTTTAAATGATTGAGTAGTAAGAATGTAGTACTTGTGTGATTCAGAAGAAAATGCCAGAAATTATACTGTGCAATCGAGGTGTATGGAGGAGTATAGTGCTACACGAATTTCAATGCCTTTTGCAGAGGCGTCCTTTGATCCTGGAGACGTGCTGATCATGAGCGGCACTCATTTGACACTGCCAGGCTTTGGAGTTGTGCAGGAGAACAAGAGGCTGAGGCTGGCCTGGATAATGAGAGGGAGGAGTGACGTTCTTCCTGATCCCACACAAGAGAGGGGCAGTTTCAGAAACATGATTCTGTGGCAGAGCTTTCCACAGGAGTAGCTTTGCCTCGCCTATACTGAGAGAAAAAAATGACCGCCCAAGACGGCTTAAATGAGGCCCACACCTTGCTCTGTTCTGACAGTCCATGCTGTTTGTGATAACACTAGCATGTAGACAACCCAAGTCATTACATGATAGCCCATAGAAGATAATGCAAAATGTCTTCAGCTTCTACAACCTAAAGCAGCTGATGTTGACTTGAAGTCCAAGCTATTCTAGCCTCTTGCCTGGGTGTCTATGCATCACTGGGCTTCTTTACCACTGGCTGAAAGCATCGATCAGCTTTAGTAGGTGATTACCAATTTGAATTTTGAACCCAAGGAGCTGGCAGCAATGCGGGCTTGACAACCGTGTCCTTTTGGAGTTGTGCATCATTTCTACTGCAAAGGCCAGCAGCTCTCACTGATGGGCATTTAATTAATCTCCAGGGGTTGGTGGGAGGAGGCTGGATATGCCTGAGAGGATTTTATGGCCAGATGTAGCTCTTGGTGAATTTGTGTCAAAAAATAAAAGTCTAGGAGAGGGTCTTCTTCTTTTAATCAACTTTCCAAGATTTATTTAATTATAAAAAAAACCCTAAACTAGTGACCCATAGACTTTATGGTTATCAAATTATAATATAACAATAGAGTATCAGTTGTTGGGAAGGCTGTAAAGAGGGATGGTAATACAGGGCCACAGTCCAACAAATGCATACCGTTGGGTCCAGCAACACCCTGCACATCTACACATGTATCTGAGCAAGATAAAGTCATCTGTTACTAGAAGATGTACATAATAGAAAAATGGCAAAAATATTCAGTTACAGCCAGCAAGAAATGGGAATGCAGATTTTGAGTGGATTTTGAGTCTCCTGCAGTTTAAAGGATAAGACTCCTTGCTGCAGCAATACGGATAAAATGTCAAGATTAACATGGTAGCAAAGCTTGGAGCTGGGAGATGGCTAACTCAAAAGCACTTATAGCAAAACATGAGGACCTGAGTTCAAGTCCACAGCAGCCATATAAAAATCTGGGTGTTACTCAGGAGCGTGTCCTCTGCCAGAGGGAGAGACAGAAGGATTGCCATGTGTTCTGCCTGCCAGCCATGGTCTCCATTCAGAGAGAGACCTTATATCAAGGAACTCTGTCAGAGTAATAGAACAGGACACCTAGTGTCTACACATAACTGTGAGGACCTGAGCACACACTACAAACATACACCACAAACATGCACCCACAGATAAAAAAAAAAACCAAACAAAACAAAAAACAAAAAACAAAAAACAGAACAAAAATTCTGTGGAGTTAAGGAAGAAATAAAGTGATCTGGTACTTAGGAGCCCAGAAGATCGGTTACTTTTGGAAGGGTATAAGGAAATATTCTAATTTGAGTTTCACAAATGTCAGTTGTGATTTGTGGAACATGTTAGCAGGAGTAGCCAACTTCAAGCTGGTTCCTGGGAGAGGAAGGGAAAGACACAGCAGACACAACATGGAGGTGGCAGGCACAGCCGTACCATCTGCTTTGTTCCCCTCTTCTAGCAGGAGTTTTACAATGCTGAAGGAGTCTTTGGCAGAGGCCAGGTGCAGAGGCCTATCTCCAACTTCACTGCTTACATTGACATCAGTGCCAAACTTCAAAAGGACACTGGTTACCTGAAACAGCCCATCCTTTGAAATTAGCATGGGATTGGTGTCCCCTTCTCTCTACCCCAAGTCCATTCTGACTACAGGGGGTGGCAACTTCAGGATCCACATCTACCCAGCTCCTGCTGGGAGTTGTAGTTAGGGTCACCCCCATAGACTCCAGGGAGCCTCCCTTGTCCCAGAGATACCCCCTCCCATGGATTTCCATTCTGTCTTCCAGTCCTCTCCCACACTCACCATTTCCCCAACCCCAGTCTCCTCACACTTGATTCCTACCCCGTTACTCTCCCCAAACCCTCCATTTACTTCAATATTTTATTTCCTCTTCTAAGTGAAAATCAAGCATCCTCCCTTAGGCCCTGCTTGGCTTCTGTGGGTCTCTGGACTGTACTCGCTCATAAAACCTTAGACCCAAAACTTGTCTTGCCTACAAGATATGCATGGTTAAAGATGGAGCAGAATTGAAGGAATGGTAAAAGAATGACTGGCCCAATTTGAGACCTACCTCATGGAAGAGAGTCAACCCCTGACACTATTAATGGTGCTCTGTTATGCTTACAGACAGGAGCCTAGCATAATTGTCTTCTGAGAGGCTTCATCCAGGAGCTGATGGGAACAGATGCAGAGACTCATAGCCAAACAATAGGCTGAGCTTAGGGAGTTTTGTGGCAGAGTGGGAGGAAGGATTGAGGGAACCTGAGGGGTCAAGGACTCCACAAGAGCTAGAGAGTGAACTAACCTGGGCACATGGGAGCTCACAGAGACTGATCCACCAATCAAAGAGCAAGCATGGGATGTACCCAGACCCCTACACATATGTAACTGATGGGCAGCTTATTCGTGAGGGTCCCCTAGTGGAGAGGAGGCTGTCTCTGACTCTGTTGCCTGCCTTTGGATCCTTTTACCCTAGCTAGAATTACTTGTCTGGGAGATGTGCAAGCTGAGGTGACAGGGTGGACCTGTGCTCCTTGGGGGCCTCCTGTTCTCTGAGAAGAAAGAGGAGGGAGAAGAGGGTAGGGTGCGTGGGTGGAACTGAGAAAAGAGAAGAGAGGGGGCTTAAATAAATAAATAAGTAAAAAAGGAAACCAGTATGAGGGAAGAAAGAATAACGTGTGCCTGGTGGCACCTGCTTGTAATCTCAGCAGTGGGGGTGGGGGGAGTAAAGAGGCAGAGGCAGGAGAATCAGGAGTTTAAGCTCATTGCCAGTGGCAGAGTGAGAATTGGCTAGCACATGATAACGTAAACCCTGTCTTAGCCTGCCCTCACACCCAGAAAGCACAATGCAGAATGTTTGACAGTTTAAACCAAACAACACATCACTTGGGTTACTTTCATGTAAAAATAACTGAAAATCCTGCCCCATCTAGTAAAAAACAGTAAAGAATTTAGTATATCACTGAAAAACAAAATGTTCATCCATGAAGCGATTTCATTCTGGGGCTCCTACCTAGGGAATGGAGCCACCCGCAGTGGCAATTTCACATTTCAGTTAACAGGTAAGACAAGCTTCCACAGACAGCGCCCCAGGATGACTCTTTATAGATTCCCTTCCCAGTGAGTATACAGTGTGCCAAGCTGACACTGGAAGCTAAGCCCCAGAGTGACACTCAGTGACTGCAACCTAAGATCCAAAGGGCAGGATGGGCGGCCAACATCACAGTCGGACCTTAGGCTCTGGCCCTCGAGATGAGTGGTTAACTAGCTGCTTTCCAATGTTTTCCATGCTATAGTTGGAACCCAGGACCTCACACTCTCTAGGCCAGAGACTTATCAATGAACTACACATCCCTGACATTAGTAATTACTATTAATTTCACCACAAGTGTGTCTGACATAAAGTGGGAATCATGGTCAGACTTAACTCACAGGTTATGGTGAGGACCAGAGGAGAGGGTATGTCTAATGTGCCGAGCACACTGGCTGGCATATAGCAGACTAGAACAATAGGCATTTGATATAAATTCTCAACAAAGCATTAGCTGGGTGGCACACAGGGAAAGGCCTTCCTATATACGAGAGAGAGCAGGGACTCTGGGGTCCAGCTCACATATCTTAGCTATGTCACTGTGGTCCAATGTGTTAATCTTTTGAGACTGGTATCGGCATGTTAGAATAGAAGCAGTAATGGCTCTATCTCTTCAAGCTGCAGTGAGGACCTGTGTATCAGAACTTGTAAAATACACATAGCAGTGCCTAGCCTTAAACATCTGTCTATAGAAACGGTAACATGCACGAGAAATGGTGTGTTCTCTCCTGCTGGCTAACAGGCAGATCCACACTCACCTCCAGAGCGTCAGACCCTTGCCACCTGAGCAGCTCTTCCTACCCTCGCCATCTCTGTGAGTTCACAACAGATTTCAACTCTCCAGGAACTTGCTTGTCTATTAAGTGCTATTATTACATGTTTAGGAAAAACTGCACTTGCTATCAGCAGTTCTTCCTCCACTTAAAATTAAGTGAATAAACAATCGACGAGAAACAGGGTGCACCCGCACTCAGGCTGAATTTGCCACTCTCCTTGTCAGCATATTTTAGCAAATGACAACAGTTTCCATAAATTACTGGTTTGCTGCCTTCACTCAGAAAGTGAGTCCCTTATCATAAAAGGACCATCCACATTTTAGCATAATTTGAATGGCTGTGACTATATTTTCAGGGAAAGTGAAAAAATTTAGCTCTTCCCTGGCACACATAGAGGCTCTTTATCTCTCTGTTAGTTACGAGGTTAATCGACAAAGTTTATGACTCTGCAAATAGCATGCACACCACAGCCCCTGCTCCTACCTAACTCCAGGAAGTGTGGGGCTTCCTATCACCCCACTTTTGAAGCCTACACAGGCCCCTGGGTATATTCTGAGTAGCAAATGAATGGATTGCCAAGTTTCAAAAAATGTGGGCCTTGCTTCACAGGCCCAAGAGTGTGCAAGCATACTCACAGGGACAGAAAGGCTTGATGGCCAGAACAGCACAGAATGCAGGGAAATAAAGCTGGGTCCCTTGGGGACCACTGAGACTTGGTGGCTGTGGGAAAACCAACAAGAAGATAAAGAACACATTCGGGAAGGGCAGCTGATTTGGTTATCTACTAACTTTTGTGTTTATGGTTTCTTTGGTTCTATCTATCTATTTATTTATTTTCTCAAAAAAAAAAAAAAAGCTAAAGGGTAGTGTTTGAAATCAGCACAGGTATTGTCTGTCTTTTACTACACCAAGGTGGGAACTCAATAGCTTTTGAAGTTAGAGCACATTGCTTTGAATTCTGACCTCACTGTTTAGTTAAACCACTTGGGATTGGTGGTTTTCTGAATGGGCTAAGAACAGAACTTGTGCTCCAGCAGAGAAGGCACAGGGCTGGAGGCTGGCCAGCCTGGTGCACAGACCAGCTCTTCCGTTCTTACCAGTCTGCTGTGCTACCTGTCCTGCTGGGTGTAGGAGCAAATGACACCTAAATCAGAAAATATTTCCGAAGACCTGTGCTCCCTGATTGCTGCCAGTCCCTATTTGCAAAGCTCCTGTTTCCCTTTCCACAGAGTGCAGTCATTTCCTCCCGCTCCATACAGACAGACCGGGAGAAACATCAGCAAACCTGAGAAAATCTGCCAAACACTTGGCTGATCGATCACACAACTCACCTCTGAAGGTGAGTTGCAAGCTCAGAGCCAAAGCCAGAGCGAGAGCCCAAGCCAGCTCGGTTTTTTGGGGGGCCTCTGGCCTCCAACATCCCTGAGAGCACAACAAAGAAATGGGGCTTCAGAAAGCTACATGGAGAAAGCTGCCTTTGTGATGTGGCTTGTGCCTTCTCCATTAGCATCCTAACAGTGAGGTATACTGCCCATCTCCCAAGCAACTTTGTTACTTTGTAAGGCATCCCTGGGAAGTCCAGATCATAAATATTTTCTCCATTAAGAAGTGAAGATTGTATTACTCAGTAATTAAAAACAAGGAAATCATGAATTTTGCAGGTAAATGGTGACACCTAGAAAAGATCATCCTGAGTGAGGTATCCCAGAAGCAGAAAGACACACACAGTATATACTCACTTATAAGTGGATACTAGACTTATAATATAGGATAAACATACTAAAATATGTACATCTAAAGAAGCTAAACAAGAAGGAGGACTCTGGGTAAGATGATCAATCCTCACTCAGAAAGACAAATGGGATGGGCATTGGAAGTAGGAGAAAACAAGAAACAGGACAGGAGCCTACCACAGAGGGCCTCTGAAAGACTATATCTAGCAGTGTATTAAAGCAGATGCAGAGACTCATAACCAAACTTTGGGCAGAGTGCAGGGAATCATATGAAAGAAGGGGGAGTTAGTAAGACCTGGAGAGGACAGGAGCTCCACAAGGACCAAAAATACCTGGCACAGGGGTCTTGTCTGAGACTGATTCTCCAACCAAGGACCCATGCATGGGTATAACCTAGAACCCTTGCTTGGACGCAACCCATAGCAGCTCAGTATCCAAGTGGGTTCCTAGTAAGGGGAACAGGGACTGTCTCTGACATGAACTCAGTGGCTGGCTCTTTGACCTATGCCACACTCCCCTGTGGGAGGAACAACCTAGTTAGGCCACAGAGGAGGACATTGCAGCCAGTCCTGGTGGGACCTGACAAGATAGGGTCAGAAGGAAGGGGAGGAGGACCTTCCCTATGAGGGCAGGGAGGAGATGACGGAGGGAGGGTGGGATTAGGAGGGAATGAAGGAGGGGGCTACAGCTGGGATACAAAGTAAATAAACTGTAATTAATATAAAAATAAAAATAATTAAAAAAGAAGTGAAGATTAGAGGTACTATGTAAGCAACAGAGCCATAAAACTGGGAAAGATACTTTTTTCCAAATTCAGGGTGGCTGATTCTGATTGCTGCCAAGCTTGCTGATGTTTCCTTCCTGTACTGAGACAGAAACAATGAACCACATGAACACTGCAGTGTTGATATGGAACTACAAGCTCTTACCAGTGGAGCTGAGGAGAATATTGTACAAATCATCATCATAGTACTGGGGTTCAGAGCCAGGGGCATATAAGATAAAATCTGTCTATCAGCGAGTTATGCTAAAGCCCCAAAGAACACTTAAACAGATCTTCATTGCAGACAAAACAGTTCAGCAAAAGCCAGTCCGGCCAGCAGCCTGCCAGCCTTTGTAGCTTCCCCTCAGACCTACTCACACCCTTAGAAGGCTGCGGTGCGCAGCAGAGTGAAGAAGAGCCATCTTGAACGTTAACACTGGCTCCATGCTGCAGCAACGCTTCTGCAGCCTAGGTGACAAACAGGTGCTTGTTAAGGCTCTCTCCTAGGTCTGAGTAACCACGTCCAGCTCTGAAAGTCCATCTGAAACATACCTTCCTTCCACTTCCTTTCCCTCTTGCCTGGAAAACAAACTCCAGCACTTTCCTGTGATATGTAAGGTTCCCCCTAAGTCTAATGGTATCACTTGTTTGCTGTGTGTGTGTGTGTGTGTGTGTGTGTGTGTGTGCATGCACGCGCATGCATGTGCCTGCATTCTTGCATGCCACAGCATGCATGTGCAGGTCAAAGGAAAACCTCTACAGTGTAGGTCCCAGGGATTAAATTGAGGTCATCAGCCTCTGTCAGACAGGGCCTCTATTTGCTGATCCACCTGGCAAGACCCAATGGTACCCTTACCATGTCTCACCCCCACTCTTCTGTATAAGGAGGCAGCTTCCAGTTTCCTTCTCTTTCTATGCTTTGTTCTCACATTGCCCTGTCCTGTCTACAGAGCCCAATAGAATGGCACTTTTCAGTTTCCTTCTCTTTGCTGCCATCTTCTCGGATGAAACTAGAATGCCTCTGCTTGTCTAGACAAGGTTTATCTTGGAGGCTCTACTGTGCTATGGTCTGAACCCATACATCCTACATTGGCTCATGACTGCAAAGCTGATCTCCAGAATGTGGTACTGCTTGGGAAGACTTTGTAAACTTCTGAGGTACGGATGAGTGAAAGTGATGGGGGTATCACTTTCTTTCTCCCTTTCTTCTTCATAGTTGGTGGCAAGGTAGATGGTCCCCTTCCACATGCTGCAGCCACCATGAAGTCCCTGCCCAATCATATGGGCTTTTAAAATCGATAGACTTAACCTTTTGAAATCAAGAGACCCAAATGAGCCGCCCTTCCTTCCTTCCTTCCTTCCTTCCTTCCTTCCTTCCTTCCTTCCTTCCTTCCTTCTTTCCTTTCCTTCCTTCCTTTCTTTCCATTCTTTTTTCCTTCCTTCCTTTCCATTCTTTTTTTCTTTCTTTCTTCCTTCCTTCCTTCCTTTCTTCCTTCCTTCTTTCCTTCCTGGGTTTACTTTATTTTTCACTGTTTTATTTGTTTGGTTGCTTTCTTCGTTTGAGTATTTTGTCACAATGACATGAAGGTTTCTAACACATATCAATCTTCTCTGTGTTAGTAAGAGTAGGTGTTAACTGTTAATCTATACTTGTAGAGAAACTTGTAGAGAAGGGAGAAAGGAGTTTTTTTTTTTTTTTTTTTACAAATTTGTAAATTTGTAAAATAGGAAGAGAACAGAACTTTACTTGTTCATTTTTACTCCATTTTTCTCTGTTGTTACTTGATGTGCCTAAATGGCTTAGAGTGCTATATTCTGCTGTCTTTCCTGACAAGCCTGATGACTCTTTAGGTCTTTTTCACCAGAGACTGACCTCAGATATTTTTCCCCCATGGACAGCCTTGCACTCATTCCTTAAAGTACATTTGGTTTCAATGAGGACTTTTCTAATTTATAAGCTGGTCTTCAGATGATACATATTGGAGAAAATTTTCAACAGGATCTTGTTCTAGAGAATCCAGGAGGCTTAAGTTCCCAACTTCCCTTCTGCCCCAACAAGCACCAGAGATCCTCAGAGCTGAGGAGACTGACATTTCCAGTCACAGCCTGAGCCATTTTTTGTTGTATGAGCTTTGGATGTCACATTGTCCCTGGTCACTTTCTGCCTCCTGCTCTGCTTCCTGGTTGGTGGTGAGGTGGAAGACTCTGCCGTGCCACCATTGTTTACACACTCACTGTCAGAACAGAACTTAGTCTGAGTGTCATACGCAAAGGAGAAGAGGCTGCTTCTGGAATTCTGAAAGTCTGGGTAGGTCAAAAAAATATAAGCAGGTGCTTCTCTTTCTAGAAATTTTCAGAAATAAGCTTTCTCTTATGTTTAGATGTTTCAAGTTGATGATCAGAAGAACATACAGTGTTTACAGTGATCTGCTCTCTGAGTTAAAAAGTTAAAGTCATAATAGCCGACAAAAGGTTACATATCAGGCACTGAACCTCTCAATGGAGCTTAGAACCTGCTGTGTTTTATAGCCCCAAACAAAACGACACACACTTCTCTCCCATTTTAACATGGAGAAATGGAATCTTGGGGTGACCCAGTGACACACATGGTGAGTCAGCTAGTGTGAAGGGGAGGAAGAATACAAATCCATACCAGTCTGACTTCAAATTGTACTTCCAGCGGGCTGCATCTCTGAGCCCGATCTCATTAGCCTTAAGCAAAGGGGCCAAATGACTCAACCCAGGTTAGAAGAAGTCCTGTCTATATGGCCCTGTAGGTCACACTGGGAAGAAATGCCAGGGTCATTAACATCAAAAGTCTGGTGTCTGTAGCCTCCGGTGATTGAGAGCCTGCTAACCAGCCAGGGAGATGAGGCTCCTCATAACTTCTGTTATTTTAGATATACATGAAACAAAATGGAAGCCATGAATTTTTACTGCAAAAGACTTTCAAATACTAACATGCAAAACCAATTTCTTGGACATGGTCTCATAATTTACTTTCCTTCTAAAAAAGATAAATAGTCAGAAGCAGATGCCTTTCCCTACCAAGTTTGCACTCACCCTGTCTCTGAGAAGGTCAACCTTGTGCCGAATAGCCATTAATTATGAAGTACTGGCCTTCTGAGAATCTGTCAAAGCCTAAGTTTTAATGAAACCACATGGAGTCCTTATTGAACTATAGGCTTTTACTAGCTTATTATTAAATTTAAGGAAATAGTTAACCATTGCGAGTACTCTCTGTGGAAATTTTATGTTTTCAGTTATAAAAAATTATTTAATGTTATGATTTTCAGTGCCATTCTAGGCAGACTCTCTTCTAGGAGTCATGGGAATACGAATATATAGTGTACAAACATGTCTGCCAGTTGGACAACACAATGTTATTTATGTAGGAATTTAAAGAAAGAGCTATACAATCATTTGAGCCACAGTTCCTCTATGCAGAACAGGAGAACATTCATTAATCTACTTTATACTCTTTGTATTGACTTCATTCTACTTGCTGCTAGGGAAGATATCTCTAGGTGTATGTGATTCTGCCTTTAGTCCAAAAGGAAAAGGCACAAGATATAACTGCTACCATGTATATGAGACAGTGACAATCTGCCTGTAAGATAGGAATGTTAGACAATGCAATTCATTAAATGCCTACTGGACTTTTATTTCAAATTAATCTTTGGCAATTCTCAAGTGTTTGATCTGAGACAGAACTTATAACTGGGCTTTTAAATATGATATATGTTATATCATCAAGATTTCTGTCAGGCTATCTGGGTGGGATGGTATAAACCAGCAATCCCAAAAGTCAGAAGTATGCAGCAGAGAACTCACTACAAATTTAGGCCCTCTAGCCAACAGCATGAGGCTCTGTCTCAAAATAAATAATTACAGAGTATATATTCTGCTATTTCAAATGATTTTGGAAGAATATGGTCTTAACTTGTTTACCCCAAAATATCATAATGAAAGTTTTTTATAAAATAGTAAACTGGAAACAAGTGTTATCATATGATCCCTGAGCAGTCTGCAGACACTTTGATTCTATAAGCTGTAGCAGATTTAGATTTGTGTAGTCCACAGAAATATAATTATTAGAGTATGAACTGGTAAGAGTACCTGCAAGTAACAGAAAGAGAAGGGTCATAAGTACTTTCCATGAAATCGCTGATTGTTTAGCACAGAAATTGTATCAGAAGTCTGTATTTTGCGAGTGGAACAATCATGATGTAAATTACTCTCTATAGATAAGTGTCTTCTCCAGGTCACCCTGGAGAGGTCCCACCACGCTGGGTACACTGCTCACTTGCACATGCTACCTCTTCGTTCCAGAATCCCATTCAGCTGCTTATTTTATCTTTCGTTTTATGTTATCACTTGGCAGGAATGAAGGGAAGACAAGGAGGAATGAGATGCTCCATGGCAGAGAAACAGAACAATGTGAATTCTTGGTTATATAAAATGCCAATTGGTCTAAGCTACAATGACCAAAATATACTCTGATGTCTTACATCTGCAAATATCTATATTTAAAATTGTGACTTTCTTAAGTGTTAGTTCATTTCCAGTTACTACTTTGAAGTCCTCATCAAACACATGCTTATACCTGTGATTTTCTTAAAATTGTAGTTACAAAGCCACAGCTTTATAGTCTATATCTGACCATTACTACTGAGATGAAGCAGAAGATCCAGGAGACAGGTCTTTGATGGGAAATCCATATCTCTGAGGCTTTTAGGGGAAAATGTGTTTCAAGGCCTGTGCCTCATTAGTTCAGAATGTCTTCAAACATTCATAAAGCAGGGGATTTTGAGTCCTTCTCTTCTAGTCCTAGTATTTAGTGGCAGTTTCAGTCACTGCACCTTCAGGATGTCACTCTCTGTCCTAAATATTTGAGAGTTGCTAATGTGTTCCTACCTCTGACTCCCTGGCTTGGAGTTTGCCACTTCGGGAGAGTTACCTGGAAAATTACATCAAAGGACTAATTGTCATTCCATCAGATGCTGTCTGTCCATAGTGAAGTCTTGTAAAGTTCTCTGGCATGCTTGTAGATCAGGTTGGATTTTATCATGCTACAGACACACCTTAGCCAAGTCTTGATAAAGTTTTTAATGCTCAAACTATCCCCAGGTTCTAGAAGGAGACCAAAGTATCTGCTGTTATACAACTACCTCATGGCAGTCCTACCTCCATGAGAACAGCTGGGCGCCACCTGCCTCACTTGGTCCTCTGACCTCTGAACCCCTCATGGCCTGAGCAGAAGACTGGTATCATAACGTCTTTCTAATCACAAGACACCCCAAAACAAGAGTCCTACTCGTTCACAATCCACTGGTAAAACTTTGCTCAGAATCCTCTGTGGATAGCATTCTACTCCTCATGACAGTTTTGCCCATTCCTCACAGCTGGCTGACCTGCAGCCTCAGTGTTTTATCTAACACACTACATCTGTTTCTTATTCAGACAGT